AGCAAATGCAAAAATCTGTAAGAACTAGCTCCATTGCTTTACTTTAAACTGCTTAACATCCTAAGTAATGTGTTAGGTAACCATAATATTGTAATTTAATTTCAAACTGGGCAGGAGTCAATAACATTTTTTGTCTTGGGTGGCCTAAATTGCTTTRTTTTTCTTTAGAGTAAATCAATAAAGATGCAATTATGAAATTGTAACAGCATGAAATAGATGATTCACTGGATTATTAGACTGGAGGAGAATGTGCTGCTGGATGAGTTTATAATAGTTCATGCACAGCTCTGTCCTATCAAGTACACAATGCATGAGGTTATGTGTGGTCTCTGTAAAGCTAATTTGGCCAAGTGTAAGCACACAGACTATTTCATTCTGTTTATACATCACAAAATCAAATTAGYTTTTTAAAAGCCTGTAACTGCAAATTACCTGTGACTGTAAGCTTATGTCCTAATTCTACAACTACAGTTACTGAACTGAAGGGCAATGCTGAGAGAAATTCATCCTGTCAAATCTGTTTTTCTACATCTTAATCCTTTGCAGAGAAAGGAAAGCAAATGAAGCATAAGAAAAAGGGAAAGGCAAAGATACAGAAATACAGGGAACAGACTCAGTAACTCCTCTCCTGAGGCTTTTACCTTGGCTTTAATATATAATCAGCCCCAAAGTGCCTCATGGCCTCTGAACTGCCAAGCCCCTTCTTTCTTTCAACCTCTCAAAAAAAAATCCTTCAGCTAATCTTTGAGAGGAGGCTTTTCTCACTAAAACTGGGAGGAAAAATAATTGTCCACTATTTTTTTCAGCAGCGCAGGATGAAGAATCAGTGGGAATAGAAATGACATGAAAAAAAAAGTGTCCTCAAGCATTACATAAATTACTTCAAACATTGCACTTGTTTTACTCTTTGCAGCAACTGCTAKAATGTTCCAAGGGAAGGACTTCAGTTAATTGTTATCTGTATATGCTTGAATTTATAAAAATCATACTATGTTACAGATGTCCACCCTTCTGTAATCTGTGATTTCTTTATTGGGCAGGACATCCTGATTTTCTTAACAGAGTCTGCTAACAATACTTTTTCCACTCCAATACAATACTCTTAAATATATCWGAAGTTTCTGGCAGTCTTTCCAATAGCACATCCCTGCTTCATGCCATCATCTGTCATCCCACTCTCCTTTTATGTCCACAAGAACTGTAAGAACACACGACAGAACAGCTAGTTCAGGCTGAAAGTTGCTTCTTCACTTGAAGCACCTTTCTGCCACCAACAGCATCAAAATCTGGCAATTCATTCAACACTAATTCTGGAGTAAAAATTTCAGGCTACCAACAAGTTARTGTGCTTTTCAAAAAGCTCATTCTGTGGTGAAGAAGCAAAAACTGTGCCTCCAATGAATATTGTACTCCACATTCATAGAGGGGAAAGCAGGACTTCTGGTAGAGATCTGTCCAGCTTTTGCCAGCACATTTCAAGAACAATCGAGAATGTCAAAGTAGCCTGGCAGGAACGACAATGTATACAGGAGATTTGATCCAGAAGAAAGATTTGGRCAGCTGGAATTGTTTACTCTATAATTAAGAAAAACACTTAGGGAAACATGGCAGTATGATGTAAATATGGGTGTCAGAAAATTAAGACAATAGCCTGATCTACTTGTTAATATGGGACATGATTACACTGAAAGGGCCTAACGTTTACCCAGAAAACAGCCACTAGAGATGAGGAAGGTCTGGTGGAAGGCTGGGGAAGCTCAAAACAGGCTTCTTGAGCCAGATGGGAATCTCTCATGCTGCAGGTTTATAAGGCCACTTGAATAGATGGTGAAGGATTTTGTAGTTCAGTCTTTGCTGGTGTGGTGAATGGATTGCAGGGTCCCATCAGGGCCCCCTCCAACCCAGTTCTGGTTCTGAACTGGCTGTGTTGTGACTGATGCTCAGATGACAGAATGGATCCCTGCTCTGAGTTTCTTGATGGGATGTTTCCCTGAAGCTCGGTGCTCAGATCAATTTCTTTCCTTTTCTGCTTTCTGACTGGGAACCAGAAATGTTMATTTTCTGGGAAGGTGCTGAACACTAGTGTCCTTCACAAAGTTACATTCAAAGCACCATTTTTGAATTCAGCTTTGTTTTGGATCATCATGTTTACCTTTGAAAGCAGGGAACATATCCCACACCTGATAACTTTCTTTGTCCTTCAAGCTATAGTGTCAAGATGCAAATTATTGTGAACTAAGGAGCAGACAAATTCTATGCTAAATCTCCATCCTTTCTGTTGCAAAGGCTTTTTTTTTTTTTATTTCCCAGTCTCTGCTGCCTTTGCTTTCTTCCCTTCTCTGACCTGTTTCTATGAGGGACAGCTTTTATCCATCTCCCTTCTGCTCGGCTCTCTTGTTTCACAAAGTCCCTTTGTTGTCGGTTGCTTTTCTGCAGCCTTTCTGGAGGTTACTGGACACTCCTCCATTTCCATCCATACATTCTCTCTCAAGTCCAACATTTACTAACCTGTTGTGTGCCATCTTTATCTCTATTAGTTATGATGTAATCTAATACTTCGTGATAAGAGAGACTGATTTATTTTCTATGTAATCTAGACCAGACCTTGGGAAAAATGCAGTAAAATGTTAATAATAACTGTAAAGAGTAGCAGATTACCACCCCTGGCACAGAATGGTCTCAGTTAAATAGAACCACACAGGTATGTAATAGCTGAGTCTAGATGAGCCTCTGCCTCTTCTCCAGTCCAAGCCCCATATTCAGCAGACCCTGTCTTTGTCTTTGTGATGSCTTCTGCAATACTGGGGTTTGTAAAACAGTTCTCATCACAGTTTTCTGAGAGCTACAAAAGAATGTCAGTTAGTTTTGATCTAAAAGGGTACACTGAAGTATCCTTCAGTTTAGCTGACTTGGGAGCTAGAGCAAAGGTTTTCTGCAAATAAAATTAATGAAACAGAATAATGGCAATGAAGAACATAAGTTCAGGGAAATTTGGTGATGCATAATGAGATAATGGTTTGTGATGATGCATAATAAGATAATGCAGAAAAAATATAGCAAATTACAGTATGCAAAAAGAAATCTCTCTCTCCTGTCAACCTGGGATTCAACTCCAAAACGATTTCTAAAAAACTTCAGTAGTTTAACACAAATGCAATCTTAAAATACTTTTTATTAGGAGCCTCATTTGAAACAACACCATGCACAGTGTGGAATTAAGAGGATCTTTTTCATATTCATGTGAATAATAACTTGATGTTTGCTTATATGTATATTTTTAGAAAGAACATCTTGTACCTCTGCAGCTAACACCTTTCCTGCACAAGGGAGATCTGGCATATTGAAGGGAGTATTTGGATTATTCTGTAGCACTTGCATAATGAGTCCTTTCGTAGGCCTCGCAGGAATGCTGCGGGGATTGTAGCAGTCCTTTKGAGGCACATGTGACCAGTGTGTGAGTCAGTGACAGCTGGGCACAGAGAACAGGCAAAGCATCAACTCCTTCACTAAATACTTCAGTCTCAACAGCATGAGCACTGCATAGATGTAGCTGATGATCCAAGGCTTTGCAGCACTCCTCACTTCACCAAGTCCAGCCAACCTGCTGCGCCTCTGATCTGTGTTATCAGCAAGGGACATCACAAAGGACAACAGGGAGGTAGTCTCTTTGGCAAATGTTCCACAGGGGAAAGTGTCGATTTCTCTCAGGCACAGATTAAGGAAATAAAAGCAAAATGTCTGGGTATTGTCTACTTCTAATCCATCTGCTGATACTGGTTAAGAGATCTCTGGGAACTGCCCTGCATCACCTTGGTCAATTAGTCCTGACCACCTGTGTTGGTTTTGCTTGGCCTAGCTTTCATAGTRGGGGGGGGCAAAAAGATGGCTCCTGTGAGAAGCTTCTGAAGACTTCCACCAGAACTAATCTCTGATGGCTCTGAGAATGATGGACATGCTACTGGCCAAACCTGGGCCARTTGGAGATGGTGGTTACACCTCTSTGAAAGCATATTTAAGAAGAAATCAAAACAAAGGGGTAGCCACAGTAGYTCTGCCAGAGGAGGAGGAGGGGATATGTGAGGGATGGGAACACCAAGGTCAGTGCAGAAGGAGGTGGAGGAACTGCTCCAGGTGCTGGAACCGGGATTCCTTTTCAAGACGTTGTGATGACCATGGTGGAGCAGCTGCAGCCCATGGAGTTCATGGAGGGTGCAGAGATCCACCCAGATTAGCCCATGGGCAGGAGACCCATGGAGAGAGAGGCTTTGCTCCCAAGATGGAACAGCCTGGCCTTAGGCCTGCACCCAGTGGATGAGGGACCCCACAGTGCAGCCGCTTTGGGACGACTGTCTGCCCGTGGGGGGGACTCCCATTGAAGTAGATGTGTGTAGATTGCTGCTCATGAGACCAGAACCACGCTGGAGAAGTTCACCAAGAACTGTATCCCGTGGGAGGGRCYRCAYGGCAACACAAAGGAAGGACTYCYCTCCCTCAGCAGCCGCAGTGATCCAGTGATGAACTGACCAACCCCACACCCTGTTCCCYCCTCCCCTGCTTTGCACTGTTGGTGGCAAGCAGGGAGGGAGTGGGGAAATCGGTGTCTTTGAGARTTTTATTTCTCATTCTCCTCTTCTGACTTCGTTAGTAAGAAATTCACTTCATAACCTAAGTGGAGCCTGGTTTGTCCAAAATGTTTCCTCCCTGGTCCTTATCTCAACTGATGAACCCTTTTGTTAATTTTTTTTTCCTCCATTCTCCTCTGCCCAGTGGTGGTGGGGGCAGAGCGGCTGAACRGGTGTTGTGGGTGCCTGGCTTTTGGCCAGCGTCCAAATCACGACACTGCCACAGTTTAATCACACATAAATATCTGAGCCTTCACAATGTTATAAAAATAAGGATCTTGGTCTGAGGGTGAATCARTTAATTTCTGGACAATACAAATTTTCCATCACATGGACTGTTGTTGTATTATCACAAGGAAAACAAAAAAATTTAGTAAAATTTTAGCAACCTTTCATTTTAAAAACAAGTGGGAAGATAGTGACTAAATTGCTACTTTTAAACAGTACAGGAAAAGGGTGCTTGGTTCCAGCAGATTACAGGCTTAAGCAACACCGTTTCTAACATCMAAATTTTCCCCTTGCTATTTTGGAGTGAGWAACTCRCCTTAATTTCTTTTTCCTTCTKTTTTTCTTCTTCCTTGAGCCATTTTTTCTAAGATCCCACCTTTTCGAGGAAGGAAATGTATTGCCCAACAACATCTTAAGAAAAGGCTTAACGGTGCCCTGTGGTGATTTGTAATSCTGAGAGGACAAGGAAACTGGTGTTAGGTGCAACAGGTGCAGGCAGGAAATGGATGGTTTAAAATTTACTGTGTTCTGCAGCATTACATCCTGTAGCTGGGAACTTAAGGCATTTTTGACAGCTGGGTCCCCATGGAAATAAGCACAAAAAGACTTCATCTATTTTAAGAACTTAAAGGAYGTCAGAAGGTTATGGATAGATAATACATCTGAGGGAAATCAGTACCTTTTTGGACAATTCATATGCTTCAGTTCATGTCTTTTGCTTTGTGTGTACCAACTTAACTGGACAACAGCAGAGAGGACAGAGAAATGCACATGGTTTGGCAAGATAGTCTCAGGTTCAAGGATGTCAGAGAAAGTAGCAGCTTATGGTCAGTCCTGCTTTCATGTGGTTCRAGGCATGGGCAGCAAAAACAGTAGATATAATCTTAGAGGCTTTGTGACARAAATGAAAATTAAATAAAACAAACAGAAGCACCAGACTTACTTGTTAAATTCAGTTTTCTGATATTCACATCTGCCAAGCTCCCAACTGGTTTTACCACCTCTACCATTCCAAGGCACAGCCAGTCTGTCCACAGGGACAAGTACTGTGTAGTGTTCTCACCACTTGTCCCACATCTCCTCCACCCCATATCTAAGCTGTTCACCGCAGAAGTCTCTCACCTGCAGAGGCTTCAGCAAGCTCTTTACAGAGCCTTCTTTTGAACACTGTCCACTTGAACAAAGCCTGATGGCATTTGCCATCATTCTATCAGACTGTCTTTGGAACCCCAAGTGAGTAGTCAATGCATTTTTTGCATAGCAATAGGAATGTATTTTTTTTCTCTTGGAAACTTAGCATAGAGTTTCTCTTCTYCCCCAGCAACACGCCTCTCTAAAGGACATGCCAAATCAAATACCTGGATGGATTTTTATGCCTTAGCAGGTCCAGAGTTCTCAAACGCTGTTTGTCTGCAAATCTGTGCACAATTTAAGCAGCATTCCCAATCAGGAGAATGTTTAAACAGAAATCTATATTTACTTTGTATCTAAACTTTCTTTTTTATGGTTTAGGGAGTCAGGGATAAAAATAAAAAATCTGAGCTTGTCTCATTGTTGGGAAGTTATATTTTTTTTTAATAGAAAGCTTGTCCTGTTTCCATCTCCACAAATAGAAGAACACAGCCCAGAATTACTGGAAACGGATCTAACTCACTGTATCAGACAGAAAGCTCACCTGCTCCAGGGAGATTTTACTTTGTGGCCACACAAGTTCTTCTGCAACCTGGAAGAGTGAAATGCTCACCAGSGCCAGGGAAATACCAGAGCCACTGAACTATGGGAATTACACAGAGAGGGTTCTGGTGAATAGAGCAGGAGGAATGTAAGCTCATGGTCTTTCTTGCTGATTTGAGGGTTAGAGAGCTAGGTGCTTCATTAATGATGCCTTGAAACTCCAAGCTGCATGGTAAGAAAACCATCTCCACTTAAAAGGTTTCTATCTACAGGTTGTCCTCTTCCACCCATTCTCACAAGCCTGTGCTTGGCCTCTTCTGCTCCAGTAAAATTACTGTACCTTTTATACACTCATACAATTAGTAACTGTACCTGCCAACAGGTGCTGTAGTTTTCAAACCAGCTGTATCCACAAAGGGTCTGTGCACACAGACAGATGTATCCTCAGTCCTTGWTACTTCCCTTCTCTCCTCAGTGCCTGTGGTATTTTCTCTGGGCAGAGACTACTGTTGTTGCCTTGATTGGCCAGTTTCAATAAWGGCACAGACCCRATAAAGGGGATAAAAGGGTTTTACCTCGGTATTTGGGATCCCAAGTGCATAGCTCAATGGAAAATGTACATCGTGTATAGCACAGATACAAGTTTTATAGATTWCAGAAATTAGCATATCTGTCTAGGATTCCCCAATAAGAAACTTAACAAATGCAGTAATGTCCCCCTRTTCTAATGAATCCCCCCCAGATGAGGCCAGAGCCCAGTTTACACAGGATGTTCCAGACAGAAGKTTTCACCCCAAGGCTGGAGCCTCAGGTTTAAGATGGCACAGGGCACGCTGACCCCTTCCTGAGGATGTTTGGTCTTTCTGCCTGGCCAAACTCCTAAATTAAMCCRGAATATCAGGTTACAGGAATTACAATCATGCAGGCTAAGGGGTACAAGGGGTACATAAAGGSTAAAGAAATGTCTAAAAGGGTATAAAAATATATAAAAGGGYACATAAAAAGGAAAGACAAAAATCRTCYGGCATCACTGTCACTGAGCAAGCTGGTGTAACATGCACCTAAAGCTGAATCATGTAACAAACAGTTCTGAATTTTCCATAAAGAATGATCAGAAAGGGGACTATTTTATTATTTTTAAGTAATCAACATGGAAACAATAGCAGTGATTAAGTCACAACAGGCTTAGCCTAATAGCAACTGCAGCATTAATACTTAACATGAATGTAACAGAGATGAGCATATTAACATTATTCATTCTCAGTCAATGAACAAAAGTGTGCAGTAAGGTCAGCATTAATCTGTTAAGAATGCTCCAAAACCAGCTGGCCAGCGTCCTCCAAAGTGGAGTGCTTGCTGCCAGACAGKCTGGGGAGCTGCTCTCTGCCTCTCCAAGCAGTGYACTCCTGGGCTGCCATGGACACTGTCTCTTCCCCTGATTCTGCCTGTGATTCTGGTGTTCCCTGTTCCCAACAAACACCCTGTTTGTTGGTGTATCAAAGCAGCACCTGCTCGAAGGAAAAAGAGTGGCAGTGCCATGGGCCAGCCCTCACWTGCTGCGTCCCCTGGGTGGTGCAGGGATGCAGCCTCAAGCTCCAGGCTGGCTCCACTGAGAGTGTGTGACCTGCATCAGTATCTGCTATTCAAACTCTCCCCACCCTCCCTGACTTCCTTGTTTCTTGGATAGGACATGCTTTTGGAGCTGTACCGCTTTTAAGATGCTTTCTTTTACATATGACTCTTTAAKGGGAATCCTGTAACACAAAATAGAAATTTTGCTTTTGTAGGAAGGGAGTTCTTTCAATCCACCCCTTCCATCTCCTAGTCCTTGTACCGTACCTTCCTTTTTTTCAAAACATTTACTAATGCATGTACTTGGCCACGTGCCTCTTTATGGAAACACCAAAGTGACACTCAAAAGAATAACTTGCATTTGGTGTTGTGGTCCTGACCTCTCTTGRTCTGAGCAACATATAACAAACTTCTCAACTAGAACATTTTCGTAATCATTGGGAGGGCTACAYGCCCAAAAACAAAATTCCCAGTGTTTTTAGAACCAGACCAGAGGACATCAGTGTGAACAAAGCAGTAATCTCCATCATTCTTCATATCAGGATTCCTCCTAGGGTACCATCAGCTTCTGTGTCATATTCACTGTAGAAACAAGAGAAGACATCAGCTTCTATATTGTCAAGTCTACAAGTTTTGGTGGGGATGGAAAAAAAAAATCTTACAGCTTGCTCAAGCAGGCTTTGCCTCCCAAACCCACTTACTAAGGCCCCCCTTACACCTTCTCATCCAGCTCATGATTTTATGTTAAAAAAAAATCCAAAAACAACACAGAACCAAAACAAACCACAACAAATAAACTCACCAGGCCAAGAAAGCATGTGTACTTGTATGTCAGTATATAGTGTTCAGTGATGTTTTTGGACACACTGTTCTAAGTTGCTAAGTGTTTACCACTAACTACTAACTACTTTTAATCATCTTTTTATTACTTRCAGCAAAACAAATCCATCACACAATCCCACAGATTTGTGCTATCAGGCCAGGATTGAGCAYTCTCAGGAATAGCACAGTATGCCCTAAGCAAGACATAAGAAGSTACTGGCTATTTGCATTCCTCTTGTGACCACCAGGCTTAAACAKTTCAGAAGTAGTTAAAAATTCCTGCAAAGCTAAGGCCATTGTTTCACAACAGGCCATCCTCTGCAGCAATACTGCTTTAGGATATTCCCTGGCATCCCCTGCTCTGCAAGCCCAGTAGGTTTGTGGGACAGCACTGAGCTTGGATAGGAAACATGGAGAAAAGATTCAGTGACTAAGCCAGTACTACTCCAGTCGCAGTGACATCACAGCCCAAGACAACTACCACCCCACGTAATTCCCATGAGAAACACACCGGTGTGGTTGTCCGGCTAACTGCGCCCTCCTCTGTCCGGTGCTTCCCAGAGTGCAGCAGCTCTGAACTGTCCCGATAGTCCCGGCCCTTGGAGTTCTGCATGTCCAGAACTGCCCGGCTCTTGGAGGGAAGGGGCGGCTTGTTCTGCTGTCCCTGGATGCTTGGGCTGACTTCAGCCCTTGATGGCTTCACGAGTTTTTTGAGTGGTGCAGAATTTTCCAATGGTGTTGTCACCTTTGGTTTGCCTTGGCTCTTTTCTCCTATATTCTTTTCTTCTGATTGGCTGGAGCAGGTGTAGGACCGGAATCGCTGTGTGGGCACCAGGAAAGGTGGCGATGGCTGTTTGCTAGAGGTCTTGCTGCACTCAGGCTCCTGTGGTTTTGTGAGATGACAGCTCTGTTCAAGCAGTGGCAGCTGCTCTTTCCACAGGGCCTTGGGRTATTCCTGCTCTTTCTTGAGGGCCACCTTGCCCTTGGAGCCCATGGAGCCATACAGCGGATTCTCGAACATCTCTGGCTTTTGCTGCCCCTCCTCCTGAAGCACAGGCTCTGCCATGGATTTCCCCACATCAGGTAGCCTACAGTCATGGAAGCAGGGTGAAAATGAGACTTGTGAAGAGCAGRCAAGAGAATCACTGACTGATTTAGAGAGAATAGCAAATGAGTGTAAACAAATTAAACTGACTGCCTAAAGGGGCAACAGGAAAACAATTAAAATGGAGAAAACAGAAGTGTGCATTGTTTTTTCTTTGTTTAATCATTAGTGACATGACAGCAGAGAAYAGATATGCATGGCATTATGTAAACTCCCTGCTAGACTACAGTCCTGTCAAAGTGATGTTTGACTTCTTTTTAAACTCAGATAAACAACTGAGCCAAACTGTACCAGGTCCTTTGATGACTCTATGACCCACACAAATCTGAATTTGAATATTAATAAGTATCTTCAATTCTGGCAGAGATGATGGAAATGGTTGTCAGGAGGCTTAAAATAAGAACTCACATCATTTACATGTGGCATTTTACAAATAGGGCAATCTCCTCTTGCTACCATTGCAGCRTGGTATTCCTAAGGAAGGGATAAATCTCCTTAATGTACCTAAATGCACAGTGTAAGAGTAATAGCTCTGCTGTGGGGTGAGACAACCCATGTGTTGCCCTTTGAGCTGTGGCTCAGCCTGGAGTGACAGCACAGCTGTAAAATGGGACACAGCAGGTCCTGAGGGTTTGGGTGACCCAGCCTGATTTGGCCAGGCTTTCACCTGGAAAGTACTTATAAGATCAGGCACAACATTACTGAGCAGAGTGGAATAGGGGTGAGTGGCACATGTTCTTTGGGTGTCTTCAAATGTGTTGTATTCCCTCCTCAAGCTCTTCCCTAGCAGTCAGTGCATGTGGGAGCAGAGATCCGAGCCATGATGGAGCACAGTTGGGTACAGAAGCGGCCCAGACAGCACTGGAAGCTTTGAGTCTTGGGAGTTCTGACTTGCAGAGTGCCACATCCATTTGCCTGGGAGCTCTTAGTCCAGCTCAGAGAGCAGCTGTTGCTGTGAAAAACTTGGGACAACAAGGACACAGACTGCACATGTACTAGGGTGAAGTAGCCTCATTATTTCACTAAGCTAGGAAGGGATGGGATATTTTCAGTTGCCAGGTGGAAATTCTGCATCAAGGTTTGTGATAGAGGCAGCACATGGAATCTGGCAAGCTGGACATTTGTGCAGTGCAAGTAGAAATTCCGCAGAAGTAATTCACATATAACACATGAAGGAGGTCTCCTTCCCATTCAGGTGAAAGACCTATACCACACTCCCCCCTTTTCTTCTTTGTTATTACAGCCAACTTTGTTATCTTCTTCTCTTCTCTTCTCTTCTCTTCTCTTCTCTTCTCTTCTCTTCTCTTCTCTTCTCTTCTCTTCTCTTCTCTTCTCTTCTCTTCTCTTCTCTTC